TTTGTTTTTTTTTTTTTTTTTGGAACACTTTCTACTAGTAAATTTTTGTTTGCCTTATAATAAAGATTATTCATATTTCCCATTAGCTATATGAGAGGGGAATTTATGCTGCGATAATTGGACTGGACTAAATCAAGCTCCTGAGGTGAGCCAGGCTATGCACTGGAGATTGCTTGGTTTGGGCCGTGTGGAGGTTGAAACCGGTCAAATGAGTTTGACTGAATACATTAGTGTTCTGGGACCAAACTACGTAAGAAGTGGCGTTCAAGAACAGACCGAGCTACTTCCCAGTGGCATTCAAGATCGGACCAAGCTACCCAAGAAGATCGGTCAAAAGTGAGTGGGCAACGCTTTGACCGGGATAAGTGAAGGGACACATAATGTTAGCATATTGGCGCGCCGAGCAAGGTTTGCATGGCGTTGCAGGTTGCATAGCTGAGTCAAATACCAACAAGGCTAATGTAGTTCGATTGCTCGGCTAGAAGTTGTGCAAAGAGTTATGCCATCTCACTTAGCTTGCGGTGATGAGGGTGTGAAAGGATGAACGTTATCCTTTAGGAGTGTGATTTCTAAGAGAACTCTATGAAAAAGAATTAGAGTCCTACAAGGACTCTACCATGCGAAAACCATACCTAATTCGGAGTTCATCCCCTATCTCCTCCCAACAACATCCGGTTTAGAGGTCCATCCCCTATCTTCCCCTAAACCGCGGAGTACATCCCCTATCTCCTCCTCTACACTTAACGTATATAAACACATTGGTTCTAGCTGCAGCGTCCACTAGGTGTCTATACTCTCGAATATAAGACCCACCAATTCTCAACTTGAGGCCCCGCCTCAACTTCCGCTCAAACTCATAGCAACGGCGTTCCTCAGACGCCACCAGTTCAGGTGCAAACCTAGACAGACTGGTAAAAGTAGCCTCTTACCAAACCAAGCCCAACATCTCAAAATACCAAAATTTAAAGACAAAACCCATAGAGAGGAGTAGGTTATCCCTACCTCAAATTCGGAGCTCCAAGGGAGAAGACTACAAAACCCAACGTGCTCCAAAACCCGTGATTTTCAGATTAAAATGAAGCCCTCGACGATCAACAACCTTTTTGTAAAGGCCAAAGGTGAGTAAATCACTCCTACTAGATCAAAACCTAGAGAGAAGGTAGAGTCTAGAGTGAGAGGCTCAACAATGGTGATTTTGGAAAAGTAAGAGAGAGAAGAGAAAGTGAAAAAGTGATTTAAAAAGTCACCACTTCGAAACTTAAACCCAGTCTTCCGCTCGAGCGTAAAACACTCCGCTCGAGCGTCCACTCACAGACTTCCGCTCGAGCGGCCAACCTCCCGCTCGAGCGCAGAATGCACTCGCCCAGCACTTTCGCAGAACCAGGCCTCCGCTCGAGCTGCCAACCCTATGCTCGAGCGTCACACAGACAACCCCGCTCGAGCGTCCAATTCCACGCTCGAGCGTACAACGCTGCACAGGAAAATACTGACTGGGTGTAATCTACGCTCGAGTGCCAACACCTCCGCTCGAGCGTACAGGCCAAAAATCTGGGCACCTAGTTTTGGTTTCTAAACTGGTTTCTAAACTCAACCAACCTGAAACAAATCCGCCCAACACATCCTATAACTCAAATACGAAGTAAAAAGGATGTAAACAAGATAATAAACAACCACTAACATCCACGGACACATGTCCGGATCACGGTATAACAAGGGTAAACCCGGGATCGCTATAAACATGATGCGAATGGATGCACAAACATTCATTTTATTGAAAGATACTTTACTCCAAAATGGCTTTATCAATACTGAACATATGCATATCAGTGTGGAGGAATCGCTTGAAATTTTTGTATACACTTTTGCACAAAATGATCACCATCGACTACTGGCAGATAGATTTCAACACTCCACGGAAACAATTTGTTGGCACATAAAAATTGTTATGCAGGCATTGTGCAAGCTTGCATCAACGGTTATCAAACCACGTAACCAAGACGACATACTGGCAAAAATTTTAAATGACAGGAGGTTTTTTCCCTGGTTCAAGGTACGAATTTATTGACTGTCCTATAAGCTTTATATATCAATAAGGGTTAATAAATATTATTTGTTTTTTAATTATAAAAGTAATATCCAAGTTTGTTTAATTTTTAATGTCAAACAAATATCTGTCAATTAGGATTGTGTCGATGTTATCGATGGCACATTGGTGGATGCATGGGTCCCTGTTTCAAGACAAAATACATTCCGCGGTCAGAAATCAACGGTATCGCAAAACGTACTTGCAGCTTGCGACTTCGATATGTTGTTCACATTTATTAATTCTGGATGGGAAGGTAGCGCTCACGACAACATTATTTTGGTTGACTCTATTACACGAGCTGATCTACAGTTTCTACACCCACCCAATGGTGACTGTCCCTAAATAACATACGATACACTTTTTTCCTTGTCTTTTTTTTGTACATATCAATTAATAGAATAGTGTCCATTCATTATTTACATGTAGGCAAGTACTATTTAGTTGATGCTGGTTTCACGAACATGCCTGGATTCCTTGCCCCATTTCGGTCTCAACGGTATCACTTGCAAGAGTTTCATGGTTGTCAATATTCAGGACCTAAGGAATTGTTTAACCATCGACATTTGTCATTACGCAATGTCATAGAAAGAACATTTGGTGTTCTGAAAAAGCGCTTCCCAATATTGCGGTCCATGCCAAATTACAAGTCTACAAGACAAGGGCCTCTCGTGATTGCATGTTGTGTAGTGTACAATTGGATCCGTTTGCATGCAGATATGGACCCATTCTTTATGGAAGCTGATAATGAAATGGCCGCAGAAGTAGAGGCAGACGGGCTTGTTGGAGACCAAGCTGATTATGTTGACATGTTACAACATGGGTTAACGTACCAATCGAACGTTAGAGATGCAATTGCTACTGCTACGTGGCAAAATCATGTTGGCCATGGATAAAAAAGGGATGTCAACAAGGTAAGTGAATATCGTACTAACTAATAGTTTTAAATGTGTAATTATTTTACTAATTTCAATCATTATGACACCTTTATTATTGATCTTCGCCCACTTTATGTAACTGTGATTTACTGACTTCTTTTATCTTTTTGTAGGATAACTAATACTGCGGACAACGATTGGGCTAAATTCCAATGAAACGAAAGGAAATACAAAGATCATCACATAGTCAATCAAGATAATGGTTTTGTTAGTAACGAAGATAATTAAATATGTTGTTCATGCAATGTGTAATATGCAATTTTATGCATTTTATTCAATTTGATAGTTCAATGATGCATGCAAAACTTGTTAGTTTATGATATTCATTAACTTTGTATTAAAAAAAAATGTTTGGCATGGATACATGTGTTATTAATTTTAATAATTTTATTGCACCTAAATTGTATTTGACCTTTTTTTATAACTTTATTTTTTTCATTTTATTAAATTGTTATTGATACATGTGTTATTAAATTGTATTGCACCTAATCGCAATCAACTAATGGTTTTGTTACTATTCGGCCTAGAAGGTCGTTTGAAAAACAGAAGCTGAACAGAAGCTCGTTTGAAAAGCTCACCAATTTGCCTCTGTTGAAAAACTCACAAATGATTGAGAATTTGTTTTGTGATCCATTATTTTAAATATATTTATTTTTGGTGAATGTCATAAATTTTTTAATTTTAAAGTAACTTGTTTAATTTTTTGACTTTTTTTGTGAGATCTCAAACCATGCTAAATTGTTTTTTCCTTGTCATTAAACAAAATGTGTAATTATTATTTTTGATTTAAAATTTTATTTAATGTTTATTCCATTTTATTAAAATAATGGTTTTGTTATTAATTAAAATTTTGTATAATTGATTTGTACATGACATATCCGTCTTTTTGACTTTTTGTTAAATTTTAAACAATTTGAAGGTTTTGTTATTAATTCGGTTTATGAATTTAAAATTTTTTGTTCTTTTTAACTTTTCTGTAGGTAAGTTTATATTAACCTTTTTTTTTCCTTTTCATTAAAAAAAAAGTATACTTATTATTTTTTAACTTGTTTTATTTCATTTGAGAACATTATTTTTGTTAATTTTTTTTTTTTTTACTTTGTTAACTTTTTGGTTTTGTTATTAATTTAATTTTTTTTATTACTTGATACACACCAATTATTTTTTAATTGTTTACTTTTATCATTTTATTGAAATGAAGGATTTGCTAGACATTTATTAAGTTATTTTTATTAATTTTTGTACAAATCTTTTTTCCAATTTTTTTAATCTAACTCACACATTGTTATAACATTATGACTAGTTAATTTTACAATGCCGAAAAAAAAGCTTTGTTATTCATGACGTGAATACAAAAGATTATAACAAAATAACAAAAAAAAAAAAGAAATTCACAACAAAATGAGAAAACAAATAACCAAAACAAAAAAAGAAAAAAAAATGTAACCACTACATCTGTGAACCATTTAAGCTGATTTGTGAACAAGTTAAACATCATTGTCAGGTGGTGTTGGAGGTGGAGGGAAATAGTGATGGTACAGCTGAGTGACTCGATGGTCAATCTGACCAATGCAGTTCCTTGTCACTTCATCACGTCTCCTTGAGTCTACACGAAACTCACCAAATTGTTGAATTAGTGAGTTCTGAGCGGCGGCAAATTCATTGAACTGAGTACCTAATGTATTGAGCTGATTAGCCATTTGTTGTTCCCATCGTAGGCACTGATTGTACCGTTCTTGTTCTGAAGCTAAATAATCAGTCTAGTAATGGGGTTGTTCATTTGGTGGCATGGCATTGTCATTGGGTTCTTTCTCATCAGGTATTGATTCATTTTCAATATTAATAGAACCCATCAAGGTGTCAGTACCACCAGCTTGGGTCAGTGTGTACTTAGAAATTGGTGAAGTGATTTTGACATATACTTCACCTTTAAGGTTGACATCATGCGCTTTGAACATTATGGTTAACAAAGCTCCAAAAGGTAGTAGTCGGCCACTCAGAGTATCCAATTTTGCAACCATCATTTCTTTCAGTAATATAAAGCATAAATTTAATTTTTGTCCAATTTCAAAACAATATAACAAATAAAAATTAAAACATGAAACAGTATCATAATGTCCTTTTTTGAGAGTGACATTTTCAACTATTCATCGATGAAGAATACGAAGGTGGGATTTTAAATGTCTGGCTTGTAAATTAGTGCCGCTGAATCGGTTGTCACAAATTGTGGTATAAATCTGAGTGACATCATTAAAAAATTTTTCTAAGGCAGACTCATTTTGAAAATAGCATTGTAAATCTCCTGTTTTAACTCCAATAATTTGTGCGAAAGTGCGGAGACTGAGTGTGATATTTTTCCCCTTTACATAAGAGGTCAGACTGAACGGTTCATTTTGTTGGTCACAAGGTGTCAAGTGAACATAAAATAATTGTACAAGATGAGGATACACCTTATTTGGTAAATTAGTTAAAGGAAATCATCCTATTAAATCTAATTTACCAAGCAAGAGTGGATCATATTGAGAAGGTAGTTTTACATTTCTCCCTGTAACAATTGGTCGATTAATAAAATGTGAATAGGCTTGTTCATGATGATATGTTAAAAAATCATTATTTGGATAGTCATGATGTTGTTGCTGTGGTTGATGTTGTACAGGGTTTGAGGATTCACCACATTCGGATCTGGTTCATTTTGTTCTTGGCATGATGACTGCAAAAGTGAAAGAATAATGTATAAAAAATGTATATTAAAACATATGAGTTAAGAAAAATGTATGAAAAATATATCAAATAGTATGATGTTGGTGTGAAAAAATGGAACATATATGAATTCAAGGAATAGATCGGCAACAGATAGGGGAACAAATTGGCAACAGATAGGGAAACTGAGTGCGAATTTGTGCTTGGGATGGGATGATCGGCCAGTTGACCGGCCGGATGACCCTCATGATGTTCTCCTGGTGCTGTTTTTTGGCTGCACTTCCCCTTCCTACACTCTGAAGCTAATATGAAATGTGAAGCTAATATGAACTGGGATGAAAACTAACTTGTAATTGAATTCTTCTTTCACACGGATACACTGAATTTAATTAATGTTGTTCTTTGATGGAGCTCCTGAAGGTGTTGCAAGAAGATGGTGAAGATGGTGTGGTTAAAGGAATGCGGATTCGGATTTTATAGAAAGGTTGAGGTTCAGAAGGTTCACAAGGTTGTTTTTTATTTTTTTTATTTACTTTTCATTTCTTATCTATTATTTTTTTTCCAATTTAATTTTTTAATTTAATTACATCCGTATACTGATAAATTTGCAGGTTTCTGGCATCATCTGCATCGTTTCCCTTTTTCTTTAGCCCATAGTGTTGAACACACAGCTACAATAGAATAGGTGGTAGGTATTGGATAAGTGAAATTACTATATTACCCTTTCCATTTTGTTCTTATGTAACAACTTCTCATTCAAATCAACAGGGGCAAAATAGTCATTTTGCACACCAATATCACCCCAATTATATAAACATTCACGGGTGTTGATTTGCGAAGTACAATAATACATGTCATTCCTGTTACGATTCTTTTACTAAATTAATAAAATGTAATAAAAGGAAAAAAAATTGATAATGTTTTGTGAAGTTTACGTTATGATTTGTATTTTAAAATATTAAACGTACTTATTTATGTTAATTTTTATTAATATGTATTCTCAAAAGTTGTTGATTTTAAAAAAAATTTAGAAAAAAATAAAAAACGTATTGTACAAAATGTTTGTACAGGCCTAAAAAATGAATTGATACAAAAATTAATTGACACAAAATAATTGACATAGATTTATTTTAAAATGAAAAAATTATTTGGAAAAAAATTATTCAAAAAAATTATTGAAAAAAATTAATTGAAAAAAAAAATCAATTTTTAATTTCAGTATTTTAAAAATGGTTTGGTTATTACCGTTGATAAAAAATACGGATATCGATATATGAGTTGTGTGTTTGATTATAAATTATTGATTGAATTAAGTTTTGAAAATTATTTTCAAAACACATCACCAAACAAATTTTCTTATTTCACATGTCACATCAAACTTTCAAAACTTAATTCAACATACATCTTCAAAACACAATTCAACACTCTATTTAAAAACCATAACCAAACAAATTTTCTACACTTAAATCATAATTCTACAACTCACAAACTCAAAATACAACTCATACTCTCAAATCACATTTACAAAACACAACCAAACGCAACATTAATTGTGGCTCTAGCATCTTTGAGTTCTTCCTCTTTCTAACCAACAAGCTCTTCCAGTGCAACTTGTGTCATCTCATGAGATTCCATCTTCTCTTCATATGTGGCATAGATTTTCAGAAGTTCATTCCTTTCAGTTTCATGCCTTGTAAGCTTTACAAGATTGGCTCCTCTATAAGAGGAGCCCTCCTCTCTTGGCTTAGGGTTAGACATTTTAGAGACAAAAAATACAGAGGAGAGCTCTGGTTCTAGGGTTAGTATAGTTGTAGCTATTCTATCTCTCTTTTTCTCTCTTGAGTGTTCTAGGTGCATTTGTTCTTAGTATTGCACACAAACACCTACCATTACACCTTCTCTTGGCTATTGAGGTTCTAATGGATTCTTTTCAAAGTTTTGGAGCTGGTTTGGAGCTTAAGGAACTGCTGGAGCTTCATTTGTGAAGAGGGTCTTCAAGGGTAACAATCTTACTCCTTTATTCCCCAATTTTGCATACTATTTTTGCCTATCTTAGAACTATTTTTGAGCTTAGTGTATAATATAAAAAAGTTCTGTTTTTAGGCCCTCTAAATAGTTTGTTTAGAGTATTTTGTGCTTTGGAGGTGTTTGACCCCTCTTAGGCCTTGAGAGGCCCCATTTTGTGCTATTTTGAGTGAGCTCCGGGACCTTGGTGTTTGGGCCTCCTCACCACTGAAATCTTGAGGGATTTCAGAGGT